GGGTGGGGGGGGGGGGGGGGGGGGTTCAGCTTTGGCTGGCACTTCTCTAGTGACACCGACAGGTGAGACGCGCACTAACACATGAGTGATTAAAAAAAATTATGGGGGGGCCTGAAAGTGAAACACGGGAACTCCGGTCTCACTCACATTATTTGAAAGCATATTCACGCCGAGATTTTTTTTTTTCTTTCTTTCCTTTTTTTTTTTTTGGGTACAACACCGAGAGCCTTTTGCTTTTAGACTCAGCCACACTTCCCCCCCTTTTATTTTCTTTCTTTGTTTTTCACGCTGCGAAAACCCAGATACACACACACACGCGCGCGCGCACAGACGTAACTCGACTGTTTCTTGGACAGAAAGAGAAGGCAGACGTTTAGATTTGTGACTATCACCTGGGAAAACGCGTGCGTGTCATTCTTTTTTCCCTCTCTCTCTCTCTTTCAATGTCTCTCTCGCGCGCGCTCTCGTTCTCTTTTTTTTGGCACGAGAAGAGTTTGCTCAAAATCAAACAGGAACTGCGTCGGATCCACTGCTGTGTGAGTACAGAAGAAGCGGGCCTCTGCAACCCAGGCTGGGTGCTGCACAGCTCAACGCCTTCCCTGTCTTTTTTTCTCTTTTTTTTTTTGCAAGCTCACTTAAAGCGCCTTGCACTGATAATGATTATTAGGAGGGGGAATGTGGAAAAAATAAAGCGGGAACGCTCCTCAAATCGCGAAATATCTTTAAATGCACATTATCTCCCATGATCCTCGAATTAAAGAATCTTTATTTGCATTCTGATGCAGAATAATCCCGCTGATATGTATCGACTAATCCACTGTTTTTTTTCTATCCTCGTGTCAAAGGCGCAGATATTAATCTCATTACTGCCTTTCATTTTCAGCGGTGCCGCAATAACCTTTAAAATAATTATACCCTGCCCGTACCCTTTTTTTTTTTTTTCTCTTTTACAAATCTAAAAATACGCCTCATCTCTGGTAGCTTCGTGCTCTCTGCCACAGCGGCGGTTCATCCGCTTTTTCTTTTTTTTTTTCTTTTTTTTTCTTTTCCACCCGTGAATGAACGAACGGCATCCGGTGCCCTGGCGCTGGGTAAACAATGCAACTGTGGCGTGCACTGGTCTGACAGTAATGGGATTATCTTAAACATATAAACGGGGCGACACAGCCCAGAGCGCTGGCTTTCCCCTCTGTCTCTGTGACCCTCTCTGTTGGTGCACTGCAGGAGAAGGTGGGAAATGGGGGGGGGGGGGGGGGGGGGGGGGTGGTGGGGGGGGGGGGTGAGGGGGGGGGGGGGGGGGGGTTTGGGGAGGTTAATGTGACCTAAATGAATCCAAACTGCAGATGGAATCTTGTTTAAAAGCTGATAATTTAAACTAGGGAGGAAAGAAAATGCAAATGATGTGTTTACAGTTAAGATGTGTAACATAAATCCTCATTTTTTAATTTATCTATTTATTTAATTTTTCCTAATTCCTCCTCATTATTGTTATTATTATTATTTTATTTTATTTTTTATTTTATTGTTTTTTATTTTTATTATTATTATTTGTATTATTATTATTATTATATAGAAGGAGTTATGGGAATTGTATGCGTCTGTTTGGAATAAGAGGAAATAATTTGACCTCTTTGGCCTTTAAGCCATAAACTGTTCATGGATGGGATTAAGATACTGACTGTTGGGCTTTCATTTTTTTCTATTATTACTGTTTCTTCTTTTCTGATTTTAGACAGTGAGGTTGAACATGGCTGATCATCAATGGCTGCAAATCTGGGGTAATAGCGTTAGATCAAAAGGGAATGTAATAAAGCGCACGCCTACCTGAACAGGACCTTGTTTTTGGTCTTGTTTTGGAACCATAACTAGAAGATGACCCACCTATCAGGCTACTTGGTGGGAAGAGGCCTGGGCCGTATTCATAGGGTGGGTATGTGGCGATGGGGTGGTGGGCAGAGGCTGACCCTGCTCCGATTGACGCCACGCTCCGGCTGTGAGCTGATTCAAGTTTCATACTGTCGGCCAGGGTCACCTGGTACTTTATGCACTCTTTGTCCTCTTGCCGGCCGGAGCTGCTGGAGCCCGGGGTGGATATGCCCGGGTCCGGGGACACGTCTTTCGGCGGGGTCGGGGGAAACGTGAAGAGGTGCGGACTCGAGTGGCCGGTGGACAGGGAGGTGGAGGAGGCCGGGGGGTAGACGGACAGGCCCGCCGGGGAGCCGTGGTGCAGGGGGTTCTTGGGGAAGGGGCTCAGGTTCCACGGGGAGCTGCTGTGGTGCGGGGCGATGCCTTTGCTCCCCTCCAGCCAGGGCAGAGAGCTGTGCAGTAACGAGGGACGGCACACCTGGCTACCTGAGGAGGAAAAAATAAAAACAAGATCACAACCTGGCTTCAGACTCTTTTTTTTTTCCCACCATAAAAGGCCTAAACATGCAGAAAAAGACAGAGTTTACGCGCAAGTCTGTATTTCCCCTTTTTACTACTAACACATGTGACAACGTTTTTTATAAAAATCCATATTGATATGACTGAAAACACTTTCTTTTCTGATGGGGTTATTGAAGTTCCCTCAATGAAAAGCAACCATACACGTGAATTTTTTATTTATTTTTTACCTGTCAATCAGGCCTTGATTCATCAATTTTGAAATTCAAAACCCTAAAAGAAACTACATCCTAATTGACTCCTCGGGAACTTGCGATATGGGACACTCTGCACACGAACCCACGTTTACGCATCCAGAGGTGAAAGCAGACTCCTGGCCATAAACCAAATTCTCCAGGTGTATCTATGACTTCTGTGCCAGCGTATCTGTTTGTTTAAATCGGCTCGCAAACATTAGAGCGCGGCAGAAAAAACACAAATTACGCACGAACCTTTTCGATAAACTTCTCTGACATATGAGTCAGCTATCTGCGAGGTTTCTACGGGAACTCGGTGAAAAGCGATCGGTGGGCAGAAACCAAAGATACTCCAGTGGTAAACTTTACATATTTACGGCGCGCGGTTTTAGCCAAAAGCCCTTTGGTCTTTTCATAGAAAACGGGCCAAAAGTGAAACCCGGCCGGGATCACAGTACAAATAATTCCGACTGCCGCGGCCGTAATGGAGCCCTCCGCTGCTGTCTGCAATTACGCACAAGGATCTAAGAAGGATAATGTGCACATTATTAAATAAAAGGCCGTAAGAGGCCGTTTACTTACTGTGTGGAGGAGGAGGGTACCTCTGGACGGCTCGGACAGAGTTTCCATAGTACGGAGAGACGTGGTTCCCCTGTCCATCGATATTAAAGAGTACATCCACATCTTCAGCGAGGGGATACTGCGAAGGGTCCATGTACGAGTGGCCGAGGCCCGGGTGATGTGAGCCGGGATGCTGCTCGTTCAACACCGCGGCATGATGGCTCATCCACCGTGGCTGATCCGCACTTACTTCCATCGCTTCGCTTTTGATTCTTGACTCTTTAGGAACTGTTCATGTACGCCGGGGCAAAGCGGCGCAAGTCAAAAGATAAGAAATAATCAGTCCCAAATCCGTTTGCGTTAAATCCACAGGTTCCGCGCTTGCTTCCGATCACCTGGAGACAGAGAGAAGAATTTTATCGTCTAATTTTTTTTAATTTTTTTTCAATGGGTTCACGTGCAGCAGCTTTAAAAGAAGAAATAAAAACATAACAAGGAGGCGGCTCGCGCTTTGTGGCGAATTTACCTCAGAACTGGAAAGAGAGACAACTAAATACGAAACATACCCCGCATTACACATTCAACAAAAGCAAGTTGTCACATAAATACGTCCAAAATGGAATCCGGTCCCACGCAGAGTTCTTCCTTCAACTTCTTCCTCTCAGGTAGAGAAAAAAAAAAGAAGCGTTTGAGCCCGGTTCAACAAGTAAAGCAGGGCCGGTGTGCGCTTCGCTCTGCACTGACCAGGACCAGCAAGTTCAACTCACTGATCAAATCTGTGTTTGTGCGCAGTTGTAGTCCTATCCATTAACTCCTTTCCCCTCTCTCTCTCCCTCTCTCTCTCTCTCTCTCTCTCTACCTCTTCACCCTCTCGCACTGTGTGGCTCGTGCTCGCTCACCCTTGCTCTACCTCTCGCTGGCTTTCTCTCGCTCTCTCTCCCTCTCTCTCTCTCTCCAGTTCTTCGTTTTTCTTTCTTTTTTTTTCCTTTTTTTTTTTTTTTTATTTTTACAGTGAAGGCATTCTTTCAGGATGGCGCCAGGCAGCTCAATGCTTGCAGACAGCTGTGGCGCGACGCAACTTAAGGAGGGTCTGTCAGTGTCATCGGTTTTAAGGGGAGGGGCCTCTCCTAATTGAGTGTAACTTGGACCCTGGTAGAAGCAAAAGAAATGTATCTTTTTACACTCACTCATTTTTTTGTTTATTTATTATTTTGTTAATAGATCTTCCCAAAAAGAAAAAAAACCTTTACTAATTTAATGTATCTATTTGAAATGGACTATTAGCCCTCATATTGATCGGAAATCTCATATTTTAGCTCGAATGAATTTGCATGGCAAAACGTGCAGTTTAGTAGAAATCACTGGACATCTAAATGGACATGGTAAATATCTCTCTTCAGCTCACTGGAATCATACAAAGCGTGCTGTAACATGACGGGGGGGGGGGGGGTTAGGGCAGTTTTCCGTCTCGATAACTGTTTCTCTAGTTTCTGAGCACATCCGAAGACAGTCAGAAAAATAAGCCGCGGCAGAGCCTGTTGCTTTTACGCAAATGGCAAGGTTGCAGGGATGTTTTATGCTCTTAAAATTGTGACAGTGCGTCCTCTCGCGGTGACAGGCACATTACTCCTAATGGCAGATCCAAATTGAGCCGATTCCCCCTCACCGTGAAGCGAGAACGGGACAAGGACGCACGGGTGCCAGGCAAGATTTATTTATTTTTATACGTTTTAGAAAATCCCCTCATGTGGACTATAATTTTTTTTTGTCACTTGATTCCTTAGTTATTGCTATGCATCAACTTAAACAGTGACAACAATAGGTGTTGACAGGACTTTTGCGCATTCGACGCAATGGTAACGCACTGAGACTTCTGCTTCTCATCTCTATATCAGAAGGTAAAGGATAAAAACACATTTGTACTTCAAAGTGCAATTTCTCCCTCTCTGGATGAGCGACTAATTGTCTGGATCACACGTGCACGGTCTCACGTGTACCGAGGCTCCTTTCATCACCACAGAGGCGCATTTTTACGCCCAAATTCCACCTTGGATTCTCCATATTTAAGCCATTGTAAAAATACATATTTATATACACATATATGGCTCTGTGTGTTTGTGAGTGTCTGGGCGCTCGCGATGGGGGCTGCCTCGTCGACCCACTGGATGTGACGTCATCGCCGTGTAACGAGTCAGGAAATGAACCCTCTCGCTGTGGGTTGGTAGCGGGAGCGCGCACGCCCTTGCACCACGCAGGTATCAGAATTATCCCTGATAGCCTTGTATCAAGTCGGACCAACGAGTAAGCAATTAAATAGATCCTTCTTTTTTTATCATAGCACCTAATAAAAAAGCACGGAACAGGATCTCTTTCAGGTGACGACTCCATTAGCGCTTTTAAATTTGTTAAAAACCTCTTTTCTTTGATATTAAGCTTGTTTTGCGCATGGAAGCACAGAGAGGCTTGGCAAAAAAAGAGGGCGTATTTCCCTTCTCCGGGATACAGCCCCCTACCTGGAGAGGGAGACAGAAAGAGGGAGCGCCTCTCACACTGGCAAACCTGAGAGTGAACTTGGAAGCAAATTGCTGTAGCGGCCATTGTCAAGCTGTCAGCGGACTCGTGTAATTATCCTCTTGAAAAGTATCTCGGGAACCATTATCCACAAAGTGCACTTTACAGGTGCTCGAATGCACCACACGATGATAGATGTTACCTAAAAATCCAAATTATGATTTTTTTAAAAATATACCCTTTCCTTGTTTGTTTACTTGGATGCAACCAAAACACAAAGAATGGGACACGGAAACCATCCCCATGACTCGATTCCCAAGCCTTAGTGTCAGTAACACTGGAGCTCAAAACAGGGGAAAAGACTCTACTTTTTTATAAATATACGTTATTTAGAATCCCACACTGTCGTCACGGAGAAGAAATGGGAGATTCATCTTTTTCTCTTTCAATATATGTGAGCAAACCCAGCCTCCAATCGTCTTTTTTTTCTTTTCTTTTTTTTAGGTTAATGGCTCACAAACAGAAGTGCTGCTATGTGCGTTAAAGGTTGATTCATAAAAATAGAAAGAAAGAAAAAAAAAACAAACAGGCGAGGGTCCAGCCGCTCTTTTGATGGCAGAGATAATCTCCAAGTGATTATGTCAGCCAGCTGTGATTAAAATCAAGACGTGGCACAGTTTCTTCATACTCCGCGCGACCGAGAATTTTAAGACGAGAAACGGATTATTCTGTTGCCAATGTGGGGGATCAAATATTTCCAGATAGCGTCTCTCTCTCGCGCGCGTGTGTGTGTGAATGTGTGTGTGTGAGTGTGTGTGTGAGAGAGTGTGTGTGCGTGTAGGAGGGTACGTGTTTAGTTTGTCCCTCCACATCCCGTCCATGGCCCCATCAGGAGCTGCAATCATTGTTTTCCCTCCCAAATAAAATGTTCCTCCGTCAGATGATTAATCAGATCAGACAGATGGAATCACGCAGCAATCACCATAACGACAACAAAACATCGACGGTCCAGTCTGTTCCTTTAAAAATAAAAATAAAAATCCTTAAAACGACAGCCACAATAGAACAATGGGTTCGATAGGTGTATTTTTTTTTATGTGCAACACATTTCCAGGAGCTGCAGCTATGTGTCAAAAAATAAACACGAGGTGTGGGTGTGTGGGTTTGCATTTGGGCCTGTTTCATCATTTGCTTTGATATCGTGGCTTCATAATGTGTCATTTTTTTGTGTGCGTGGCTCTCTTATTTATTCCCAAGACGCACAAAGGAGGTGCGACTAATATTAAGCTTTTATGACAACAAAATGGAATTTGTGTCAAAATTATTACTATAATGCCACTATATATATGCATTCACATATATAGATCTAAATCTATAGATAAATTTATAGATAGATCTATATATAGATCTACAGATATATCTCTATGGATATTTGCCTGCATGTCTATTATATTTATGTATAACGTAAAATTATTTTCCAGAGCCAAAACAGTTGTGTTGCTTTTTACAAAAAGAATAACGCAGATGCTCAGAGAGTGGTCGAGCCAAAGGGTGAGATTTTACTAACTTAACGCTCATTTATACATTTAGAAACTGCTCTGTTACCGCAGGTAATCTTAATGGCACATCACTGAGTCATTCGTCACCTTTCTTGTCTTTTCAAGAAAAATGAGCTGGATTTCTGTCAGCATGTGAACCAACTCTGCTTCTTAGAACAAAACGAGGGCGTCGAATTCTGCTAGTCGAGCGGCCCGAAACTCACAAACACTCCAGGGGTTCCTAGAATGATCTGAAGTGAGAGCGATCGCCGTGGGGAACACGGTGATGTTTCTTCGAGTGTTCCACGAGAAAAATTAAAAAACGCAGCACATCGTCTAAACGAGGAAGGCAAAGAGGGAAAGAAAAAATGAGTTTGCCAATTGACTGACATGTGATGCTTATCTGAGTCTATATCGCTTCTCGCCAGACTCGCTGATGTAATCTGTAATTTGACGTACGGGGGGGCCTTTTAACCTCTGTTGGTCCAAGAAGAGCCATTCATTCAACATCTCAATATTTCTTTTTTTTTCTTTTTTTTTGGGGGGGGAGAGTTGGGGCTGAGCATTGTAGTCATTTTCTGGCAGCCACCTCAAAACACGGAGCAAATAAATCTAACAGAGGCTGTAATTCAAATGAAAGGAGGGCTAAACGGTTGTCCCTCTCAGTCAAGCTTAGAGAGAACAAAATCAGCTTTAAATTAATCGAGGATACTTTTATTAAAATCGTCATTTTTTGTGCTTTGTTTCTTTTTTTTTTTTTAAAGCTAACACAACACAAACAGTTCGGCTACTCTTGGATTAGAAAAATAAAAACAGCCCTCTGGCATCGATACGAGGATGAACGACGTCTCCGTCTCGCTGATAACCGCGCGAGCTCTCGGCCCGTGACGGTGCGCGCGCGATGCCCCCTTAATTTGGAAGACCACTCATTCCAACGACCACCCCCCCCCCATACCCCCCCTCCCCTAATCATATCAACACACATCAACCAAAGACGAAGATGGAGGAAACTAATAACGGCGATAGAAAGCTGCAGCCTCAGCAACTGCCTTCTTTTTTTTTCTCCCACCTCTTCTTCTTCGTCTTCTCCTTCTACTTCTTCTTCTTCTGCCTTTTTTATATGACCCGCCGGCAAGGTAATCAGATCAATTTCACGGCTCGTATGGGATTCTTGCCTGTACCACCAACCTGAACGGCGAGTAATAGCTGGTTAAAAAGCCTCATCTTCTCTATTTTGGGCTCGGGTTTTTCAGGTAGGTATAGTTCCATATATTTTCTTTCACGAAATAGGCGATTTCTGTTTTCTTTTTTTTTCTTTTTTTCGCTGTCTGGCGACCTGAAGCTAGCGCGAGAGGGAACACGAGCATCGCTAATTACCACCAAAACAAATACGTGTTTTTTTAATTATAATTTTTTTAAGGAACAGGTTTTGGTCAACAACAATTGTGGAAACAATGGCGGTCACAAGAGTGAGGTTAAATAAAAAAAATTGTTTTAAAAATCGAATAAACCGAGCATTCGCCGACCAACGTTTTCTTGTTTCGCGGGGGGGGGGCGGGGGGGGGTTTAGGAGAGGGGGGAGAGGATGAGTGGGGGTAAAGAACTAAAAAAAACCTAATTAGCCCTTATTATATTTTTCGTTTTCACTCAATGTCTTTCACGCGTGCAAAGCCGAAAGTTTCCCCCATCGTTCACACTCGAGCAACATCACGAGCCACACACGGAGAGAGCAGAGGCAGCCCATTGGACCGGAGCGTTCAGGATGCGGCCCGGGCTTTCTGTTTTTTTTTTTTCTCCTTTTTCTTTTTTACTCAGCGCAAATTTAAACATTTACTGACCGGGTGCAGTGGACGGCGGACGTTTTTTTTTCTCCAGCAGATGTTGAAGAAAAGAGTGACATAGA